TATGAGCAGTTTTCTAGAACAATTGAATAATAAAATATCGGCTTAAACCTCCTGGGTCCTCTGGTTTTCTCATGAACAGTGTGTGAATGTGGGCAAATTACTTAAATAGCTAAACATGTTTTCTTACTCTTATAAGAAAAGGAGAGTAAATACCTCATAGAATGTGGTGAAGACTAAATGAGACATAGCATGCAAAGCATTTTGTATAACAAAGAGCCTAGCACAGAGTAAATGCTCAAGAAATGGGGATGATTGTTATATTTCTAGGATTTGGATAATTCCTGATAATTTGGATGAATATAAATAAAGCAATTCCATAAAAAGGAAAAAGTTGTCATGATATCTGAGACTTACCATTTACATACAAATGGGTATGGGGAATAAATGGATATGGATGCCTTGCCTTGGGTAGGAATGGCATGGGCCTAATTGGGCAATACACCTTATTCCTGAAGCATAGACAATATCCTATAGCCAAAGTACTCATATGGGTTTTCACAGTGGAAAATATTTAAACACTTTCTTTAGAGGTACATCTTGAGACTCACTTAAGGAGCTGTTCAAAATAATATTGTATTCATTGGACATGACAGCTGGATTTAAACAAGTGCTTTCAGGAAAAGCAGAAGCCACTAATTAACTTTTCTGCTTGCAGTTAGTTACATTAAATGCTTTTATCCCAAGAAGGGAGAGAGAAGCTAAAATCCATGTCATGGAGCATTCTCTCAGGTTTGATGTTGCTTTGTTTTTCCTTCTTCCTTCTCCTCATGTAGCAGAAAATGATGGGCTTAAAGAGAAGCCAACCTAGCTATGTGTCTTGGACTTCTTTTATTCTTGACTTGGAGAAAGAAAAGATTGAGAGATGAGGATTACAGGAGACACCAGCTTGTGATTTTCCTTAGGCCTTTTGAGACCCATCTGAAAGCTGTTCCAGAGTAGAGTGTTGGCTGAGGTTCACAGCTAGTTAACCATGAGTAGCCTGGAGGGAGCAATATGGGCTATTGCAATTCCCTAAGTATGAAGGTTCCACATCTGGAACAGCAAAACATTACTGGCTACTTCAGGGATAATATGGACACCAGAATCCTAAAGAATGTACAATCCCAGGATTACCTCATCAAGATATCAGATTACTCTCATAGAGAAAGATGATTTAAACAAGACTGGAAATACAACAGGTATTGGTTAGGAAGTACATTTTTGTATTTATATTTAATTATGCATAATTAAAAGTGAAAACTATGAAGTTACAATACCAGCAAGTCAGTAAATGCTCTTATTATCTTTTCCACATATGTCCTCCCTTCTCTAACCCTTTCTCTCGAAGTAGGTATGAGCGTGCCACCAGGTGGTGACGTAATAAAGTGAAGTGTCAGGCACATTCATAATGCTTCTCAAATTGGGGAGAATTTTGGAGGTGTCTGAATGCCAAGGATTCCTGGAAATCACTGCACCCTATTCCTGAAGCTTTTGTTTTTCTCAGTTTTTGCTTTTGTTTCTGCCAAAGCCAAAATAAAACTAAAAATATGCAATAATATTGTATTAAAATACCTCCTATGATGTAGAATTTAAAAATCTGAGTCAGATACACTTTCATCAAGCCCTGGCTCTGCTTTTCACTAATATTGTCACAGTGGGCAAGTTATTTAATATTTTTGAGCCTCATATTATTGAGGATACTAACTGCTGTCATGAATTATTTTAATCATACCTTAAGACTCTGACTACCTCTCCAAGATTCTTACCCTGCTGTCCCTACTTGTCTCACTGTCACCACTGTATACATGGTTTCTTGGCCTTCCCTTCCCTTTCCTTCCTTTCAGGTTTGCCTGGGACAATATAAATACCCACTTGAACAGCATCTCCTCAGGCATCCACACTTAGTGAATGTTGAATATTTTTAAAGAATTGCAAAAACTCTTATAGACATTGGCCTAGACAAAGAATTTATGAAGAAAACCCCAAAGGCAATTATAGCAACAACAAAAATAAATAAATGGGACCTGATCAAATTAAAAAGCTTCTGCACAGCCAATGAAACCATCATGAAAGCAAACAGAGAACCTACCTACAGAATGGGAGAAAATATTTGTATGCTACCCATCCGATAAAGGGATGATAACCAGAATCTATATAGAACTCAGGAAAATCAGCAAGAAAAAAAATCAAACAACCCTACCAAAAAGTGATCAAAGGACATGAACAGAAATTTCTCAAAAGAAGATAGACTAATGGCCAACACACATATGAAAAACTGCTCATCTCTAATCATCAGAGAAATGAAAATCAAAACCACAATGAGATATCACTCAACTCCAGTGAGAATGGCCTTTATCAAAAAGTTCCAAAACAATAAATGTTGCCATGGATGCAGAGAGATAGGAACACTCATATACTGCTGGTGGGACTGCAAACTAGTACAACCTCTGTGGAAAGTAATATGGAGATACCTCAAAGAGCTGTAAGTAGAACTACCATTTGATCCAGCAATCCCCTTACTGGACATTTACCCAAAGGAAAAAATGACATTCTATAAAAAAGACATCTGCACTAGAATGCTTACAGCAGCACAGTTCATGATTGCAAAGATGTGGAAACAACCCAAGGGCCCATCAATACATGAGTGGATTAATAAAATGTGGTATATGTATACCATGGAGTTCTACTCAGCCACAATAAACAATGGTGATCTAGCACCTCTTGTATTATTCTAGATAGAGCTGGAGCCCATTCTACTAAGTGAAATATCACAAGAATGGAAAAACAAGCATCACATATACTCACCATCTAATTGCTATTAATTGATCAACACTTAAGCGCACATATAGTAGTAACATTTATCAGGTGTTAGGCAGATGGAGGGGAGGGAGGATAGGTGTACACATACCGAATGGTATGGTGCAGTGCACACTGTCTGGGGGATGGACATGCTTGAAGCTCTGACTCAGGTGGGGTGAAGTCAATATATGTAACCTAAACATTTGTACCTCCATAATATGCTGACATAAAAAAAAATTTAAAAAATAAAGAACTGGAAAACTCTTAAAATGTTAAGAAAAAAAGAGTAAGCAAAATGGTAAGAAGACTTTCTGGAGGAGTTCATTCATTGCCCAAAAAAGGAAATCTATTACTTGAGAGAAAAGGGTAAAGCTCTTCTAGTCAGCCTGCAAATATGACAATTATGATCATTGGAATACATTACATGTAAAATTGATTTATAGCCCTGGTTGTCAGCAAATGTTAACAGTAAATCTAATTCAAAATGTTATTTGAAAAAGAAGTTACCATTTAAATCTTAAGTGTTTACTTTAAATCATTAAGAATCAGACTATGTTGCTTTTCATTGGGTTCTTTAGGATTTAGGAAACAATTTGAAATCTCAAGGGCTTTATTGAAATTAAGTCTCCATAAACATCAAGGGTAGTTGTTTTTTCACTTCAATAACAGATCAGGTTCCTTAAAAATGACTTGAAACCAGGCAGACTTTGATGTGAATCAATCTCTTTCCCACTATGTGATTCTGGCCAAGTTTGTAAACATCTCTGAATCTCAATTTCCCCATAAAATGGTTGATAATACCACCCTGAGGATTCCTATGAAGATTAAATGATAATGCGCACAGCACTGTGCCTGACACTCAAAAAAGTTAGCTTTCTTCTTACCCACACCTGCCCCTCAACAATCACATTCTCTCTAAAATCAGTGTCTTCGAAATAAATATTTTGTAAGCTAAATGCTATCAGATATTAAATGCCTTTTGGAAAAGTAATATTTTACCAACACTATGATTTTTTAAAATAAGTTTCAGGCATTAGATCATGTGAACATACTCATTATGTAAAATAGGTTTGCCCAAATTCTGTATGAATCATAGCTTCAAATTATACTGTCATAAGCATACAAGATACTCATGGCTATGAACTAAATTATGCCCCATCCCCAATTCATATGTTGAAGCCCTAACTCCAGTGTAATGGTATTTGGAGGTAGGGTCTTTGGTAGGTAATTAGGCTTAGATGAGGTCCTGAGGGTGAGGCCCAATGATGGGATTAGTGTTCTTAGAGGAGACACCAGAGAGCTTACTCTCTTTACCATGTGAGCAGATGACCATACACAAGCCAAAAAGAGAGCCCTAACCAGGAACTGAACATATTGGCATGCTCATCTCAGACTTCCAGCCTCCAAAACTATGATAAAATTAATTTTTTGCTGTTTAAGCCATCCAGTTTATAGTATTTTGTTATCTCAGCTGGAGCTGACTAAAATACCCATGCAGCAATGTAGCATCATTTTAGTTATAAATTCAATACTGAATACAACTTAAGCTAACAGAATAAAATTTGTATGATAAACAAAATAACTTTTCAACAGTATGAAGGTATAGTTCTCCTTATTCATAGGCATATATACATACTTGCATACACCTATTTAAATACATTTTGAATATTGAAAATCAATGATATAGCCATATAGTTCAACTCATCAATCAATTAATTCAACAGACTTATTGTGGTGTGCTGCTAAGTGCCAGGTAAGCACTGGTAAACAGAGATGAACAAGACACATTATTGTCTTTATTGAACCCACAGCCCAGTAGCCAGAGAAAGTCAAAACATAAGGTGAGTAATAAAGTGCGACAAATGCTCAAGAATATAATAACATAATATTAAAAGCTGTCCTTATACTGTAGAACTGTTCTTCCCTAAAACTATCTGTACTGACTTCACCTAGATTAATGCCACAGTTGTCTCCTGACATTTCTACTTAGGGAGACTTATTTAGGAGGCATCTACAGCAGAATACAGTTTCTACCTTAAGCTTTCTACCAACAATGTTAGAAGTGAAAAATAAAACATAATTCTTGAGCCTTAGCTCCTGTCAATTTAAATGAAAATAGGCAGTTGGTTCAGCATATGTTGATTTCTTAAAATCGGAAATAGACTTTCCCAGCAATATGCCTCAGGGAAAATAAAATGTGTGGGCTGGCTCATTCAGTTATATTAAAAGGAAGTTTCCAACTGATGTTTGATTACATTCCTGAAGGAAAAAAACAAAGACTATAATGAGAAAATTAGAATTACTCTTTCCTCAGGAGTAAAGATTCCTGGTCTAAGAACTTGTTTTGAATCTGTGGTTAGAACATAAACAAACAAACAAATAAAACTTGAGCCTAGATCTATCCTGACTCTAAAATTCAAGTTAATATGAACATAATAGAATATAAAAAGCATAATACAACTTATATATTCTTAACCTTCTATTTCCCACCAATGTAACCTGAAAGGTTTTTTGGCATGATTTAAAAATTAACTCAAATCTCTTCAGGGTGTTTCTCCTGGGAAGCCCAAACGAGTAAGCTTTCTACCCTTATGTTTCTCTTTCTGTTACTTTCCTTTCAAGGTATTCAAGTGCTCAGTAATAAGAAGCTTTCAACTGAATTTGGTGGGGCAAACAAAACCGGCTGGTCTTTCTTCATGTGATAGCTCAGATAGACACTGACAGACACCGACTCTTGGTGTCACTGTGTAGCTGTACTCTCTGAATGGCTTGGCCCGTGCCTGTCCGACATAAACAATTATTCATGAAGTTAAATTATTAATATTTAGGAGGAAAATAGATTGCCTGTGACTAATGCAGTACAAAATAGTACTCAAAATTATGTTTGAATGTTTGTCCTCTACCTGTCCTCTATAGTTAGCAAAATGCAACTAATGATTTGTATTTAATTTGTTTTCCTACTCCAATTATAGTACAGCAAGATTTAAAATAAATGGCTACTTCTTTTTCATTTTATTGGTGAATCTCATTAGTTACAAGTATATATATTATTTTTATATAAAATGTGAAAACCAAAAACACTTCATGTTTTTAGAAAAGAAATTCATGTTTATAATATTCATGATTCCCAGATGTTATTAATGAGAAGGTATTTAGAGAATTTCCTCTGAAAATTTTATCCTATCCCCATACAACTTATGATGTTTGAATATTTTACAATCTTAAAGTCATGAAGAAATTGTTAATACTAATGGAATGAGCAAGAGAGAAGGATCATTCTGCACAGATTAATCCAGGAAACACCTTGGCCTGCCTAGACTGGGTAGATTTTATCACTAGGCCTTTCCAATTCATGCTATTCATTGTTGACTACATTTGACCTTCTAAAAATTAAATCTGGAAGTGCCTGAAGCTTTAGTATACACCAACTTCTCTAGTGGGTCCTAAACACCAAAGATTCTCCTTGAGAAAGTTTTCATTAGTCTATGTAGAAAACAGGGAAATAGAAATAGTTTCATATATTTGTCATTAAGCTAGTTATCAGATTTGAAGAACTATCCTTTACTCTGACAGGATCTTTACCACCTTTTAGAATTTAAAATATCCATGATTTTATGAAATAAGAGTAGAGTATAGGATTTTCTTAAAAATGACCTTATTTGGCAAACTAGAGGATAGACAACCTAATATAAGTCAACACGGCTTAAAAATCAGTATTTAAAAATGCAAAGTCCAGGGATATATGTGGTCTATACCATATACCTTTACTATTAATAGTAGAATCACCATTGTAATGACTGAAGTATTCTTTTTCCTCTTAGTATAATATATTTTAATTGTCTTCAGACCAGGAAAATGCATATGAAGGTACATCTAGAAAACCCAATATTAGCTCATCAATATTTATCTCATTGTTCAGAGGAATGTATATACATCTGAATCTTTTGTTTTCCTATATAATTCTAGCTACATTTAATTTTAGCTACATAATCAAAGTGAAATGAGGAGTATTTGGACCTTTAAAAATTTGTAGTAGATATCTCCTACTACACAGTTAAAATTATAACAGGAAAAACACAAAAGAAGCAATTCTTCAGGATAAAGGAGCCACTACTCAATAAATAATTTAATAACTATTCAATTAAAGCATCTTGCAAAGCTATAAAAAATCTGGAGAAAATAGAAAAACATAATGAGAGATCTGGGAAGGAGAAATTGCATCCACTAATAATCAATGCATTTCCAGATCATTATTATAATGCTGACAAAATTGAAGAAGAAAAGAATAGCACAAGCCAAACCATTTGGGAGGTTATTACAATATAGCTCAAAATGAATACAGTAAAATCACTGGCACAAAAGTATTATTTTTCATTTCAAATCTATACAGAAAGCATATAAGGATCATTAATTAGTTGTTCTCATCATATTCTATTTGGAGAAAGACTACAATGTCCTTGAGACAAAGTTCTTATTGAAAAAAGAGGTTACAAGTCTAAATAGGGGAAATGGAGTTGAGATCCATTTTTATGCAAATTTTTGGCCTCTATTTTTTTTAATTAAAAGTTAATCCCCAAGTATATTGATGCCAACCCTATGGAAAACTGGCAGTATCTATTAAAGCTAAATTTATCCATATCTTATAAACCAGCAATTCCACTCCTAGTTATATACTCAACTGAA